ATTCTTTAGTAACTATCAGCCTTTATTTAATTGAAGATGACCTAGCGACGTCAAAATATTTACCGTAAAGTGAAAAAGCATGAAAAATAAACCATGTCTTCGAACCTGTTTTTATAAAAATGTCACAAAGCAGGATGACTGGAAAATATTCAGCTTCTCAACATTTTATCAAGGCTTCTAGATACGTATAGCGACAGCAACATGAATTACTTAGTAAACTGCTTGTCCGTTTGATCTGATGCTGATTAACCTTCATAATTAATATGGTTTATCTTTTGTTTCTCAACCAGCTCTTTCATCAGTCCACTTTAAAACTGGACTGAACCTGTAACCTGTAACCCTACACTAGAGATTGACAAGAAGATTTAAAATTAGTCTCCTGCCTCCATGATATGTTGCAATTATTGACCTCATTCATTCCATAGTTAGGTCATCGACATTCGCATAAAGAGTGGTATCATACTCTCTCATGTTGAAATAAGTGTCCTAAATAAGAAAAGGAAAGAAAAGAAAAATACAATGTTAAAAAGTAATGAGTCAATGCGGTGTTCGGTCTGCTATATTGAAGAAGGGGATGGAAAATTAAAAAAACAGTAATGATAATAATAATAATAATAATAATAATAATAATAATAATAATAATAATAACAACAACAATAAAAATAATGCCTTTAAAAATAAACGTAACAAGTCATCCGTATTAGAGAAAAAGATTAATCTTGCGGGAATTTTACTCTTGTAAAAGATGAAGCAAATAGGGTGCATGAACAGCGGGGCTTTTTAGAGGAGGGGAGGCTTACAAAGGGCAAATATCTTTATTTTAAATCATCGCCCAGATTCTATCGCATACTGCTTGTATCTCTTCGGTTTAAAACTTACGATATCTGTGTGGAAACAAATATAGGCTTTCAAAAAATATACATTTGAATGATAGTGCTACCTAGTAAATTACCACTATAAAAAAAAATGTTCAAGTTCCAAAAAGGAGGGCCTTTCTGGAAAGGGGGTTTTATTAGAGCTTTTGCAGTATAAGCAAACTAACTAGTATAATGCAAACTAACTAGTATAATGCTAACTTCTATCTAACGTAATTTTTCACTTACATTTTTGTTTTTAGCCATGCGACTGATAACGTCTTTAAGTGAAGAGAATGTTGGTCTGTCATTTGGATTTTCCTGCCAGCACTGGACCATAATCTGGTAACTACAAACAAGTGGTAAATATAATATTCACGATAATATTGAGAATCAGGGCGTCAGACCTAGCGATTTTGTTATATAAACACAGACATCTATGATTTTTAAGCTAGAAAGGGTACTGACTCATTGATATTTTCCAAACCTACTTGGGTTAATCTAACAAATTTCAAATGCATGATAAAACTTTTTTAAAGACATGTTTCGGTGTGACTCATGCCATCCTCCAGTTATTTTGCCGTATCCGTTTTAATTTGTTTTCACTCGTTACATTAAAAATGACGTTATCAATCCAAATCAAATGACCATGATTTGAAATTGCAGTGCCAAATCTAAATACCAAACAATGAAATACCAAAACTTCAAATATTATACTTGCGCCTGCGCAAACAAGTTTCTAATTGACCTATTGTAACGGTACTGACGATGGCATGAGTCATGACGAACGTGTGTTTAAAAAGTATAAAGGTGAGTTTGAATTTATTTTGCTTCTATCGTTGTTACGAAGTTAAAGAAGTATCATGCATTACTTGATTTAGCTGCATGTGGTCATAAACCAATGACAGACCATCAAACACAAATACTTCTTATTAATATCTGTGAAAACAAGGATTAAGTAAACAGAAGCAGACCACTTACAGCTGTTGGTCAACATGTTTAGGTTTAGGCATTCTGTATCCTTGCTGAAGTTTGTTTGCAATTTCGCGGGCGTTAATAGCAGGGTAAGGAGATCCACCTATGGACATGAAATGACAGCTTAAAGTCAAATGATGAGGCAACAATAGTTATCACACAAGTCACTTTTATAATTTTCGACTGCATGAACCTCACAAAAACAATCCTCCTCAAACTTACTTAGAAACTGCAGCAATTCTATCCCTCTTCCCCCCCTGCATACAAAATAGTGCTTTGTTTTGACGGTTAAAACTGTTATTTACTAAATGCAGACGTACCTACAGTAAATATTTCGTACAGAACAACGCCGAAACTCCAGCTGCAAATGACAAAAAAGAAAGAGCAATGAAACGTATAAGCAGCGAAGCAATCTGAGTCCAGTAAAACATGATAAATCGCGAGTTTAACTTGCTCGCTGCCTAGACAAAATATTGTGAAATAAATCGAGAGTAGGGAAGTATAAATCTTGATACTGTTCAAGAATGAGCTACCAGCTTGTAGTCAAAGACAATTCCTTTGTGTAAACCAAGCATTTACATTTGCTGTCAACTTGAGTTCTGCCAAATTCCGATAGAACAGAAGTAAAAGTGGAAAAATATAAATAAAGATATTTCAATCTACGTTGATGCGTTACAAATTAATTTGCAAACTTTCAAGCAGTTGTATAGGGATTCTTAGTAATAAGAATGACAAAAATCCGGGCCTGAAGTTGATACCAAGACGAATTTGTTTTGAGTATCTTAAAGGTAATACTTACACATCACTTTGTGTTGTGTACTTTCCATAAACTAAACCCTCATAAGCAGTCCACTTTACTGGCAGGCGGCCCTGTTTTAAATTACACAGCGGAAATGTTAAATTCGGATTGATTGCTTCCTTCTTTACTACGATAGTTGGTGAAATTTGCAAAGTGCGACATCCTAGGAAAAGATTCATGAAAGAGCAGAAAACTTCACTGAAATGGAGGCGAGTTGAAATCAGGGAAAAAATTTCCTACCCGACTCGTTTTGTTGTAGATATCATCCTGGTTAACATTCCTCGCCATTCCAAAGTCTGTTAGCTTACACTTCTCTCCTTCCCCAACAAGAACATTTCTGGCCGCTAAGTCACGGTGGATGATCTGACACAAGGATGTTATGTTGCAGTGGGTTAAGTATTTAAAAAAAATGGAACAACTTAGAATAGGACAATTGGTACGTTCGGAGCTTTATCGTTGAATAATCAAAGACCGAAAGTTTCTCTATATTCGACGACAGTGCTTTCCCATTAAATGTAATTTCACACGACGCTTTCAATACGACTGACCCTAATAGCATGCAGAACGCTCCTCATAAATGA